ATCATCCGTCCACATGAAACATAAACATTGTCGGAGGAGGCCTAGGCTAGGTGATAGACTCTACAATATTTCCTAAATAGAGATAGATACATATGTTACTCAAGGGTATTGCAGAGAGATTGTCAAAGCCTGTCGCACATCTACCCGTCTGTTCTTCGCGCCTTTCAACATGTGTACTTCAATGTTCTTGCGCGCCTGCTGCCAGATGGCAGACAGCGTATTCGCGCTGGCGTAATATCGTGTGTAGGGCTCTCTCGAACATTATTAACAAATGTCAATTCTCGGGCGGAGATACTGTACTGTTGCAGCATGGATCATTTTGGTTCTTCATTGTCAACTCAGTGGGGACCAAAAGATAGGCTTGTTTCGGACGAACGCTCGATTTTCTTGCGGCCATAAGCAGTCTTTTCTTTTACTTTCTCTTCTTTTCCCTGCTCACGGAGGCAGGGGACAATAGCTGTCGCTGCCGGGAAGCGGGGCCGACCGTTGCAGTGGCCTAGGCGCGTTTGATCCAGTGACACACTAGCCGCAGATGCGCCAAGCTTAGAAACTTTGTGCAGAGAGCTGAGCGGCCTCTGATTTCAGCGGAGGCCATGAGTACTGTAATCATTTTTAACCGGTATAATACCCACACTGCACTCCGTTCACTCTTCATACTCATCACCCAATCTTCCTCTCCTGTGTTTCTCCTCTACCTCAAAATCAGTTGTACCATCTGTCAATCACGCCCACACGCTGCATGCAACATAGCCTTTTCTCCTCATACCTGTGAGCAACGTCCACCTCGATCCAAAGTCAATTATAGCCGGAGAGCATGGACAGAATGAAGGCAATTCTTATCACCATTGTAACCGTCCTTTTCTGGGCCGCGCCAGCAATTTTTCTCGCTCAGACGATATTCAGATGCAGCGCCTATAGGTGGGATAGGAACAGGCTACTGCCTGCTGCCTTATGTCTCACGCTGGCACTATGTTGGCCGGTCACTTTGCTGCTGTGTTATCTGTCGACGTTGTTCCCACTGTCACCACCCTCCTGGCTGAAGAGGCAAGACAAGGATCGATCGATTTGGTACCTGTCCCTTCACAAGCGCGTGGCAAGAAAGATTCAACAGAATATCTCCAAACTAAGGGCATCACGGGGGAAACCGCCAGCAGATATCGAGAAGAACCAGGAAAAGGCGGTGCCCCATCTTCAGGTGGAGTCGATGAACAAAGATGCGATGGAACATCTGGTGAGCTCTAAAGCAGTCGCCGTTATCACCGAATTGGCACAGTCAACGGACCAATGTTTCGGCGTCCAGGCCAGCAATCTTCAAACAGAAGGAGACGATACCATGGCAGCACCACCCCCTGTTTATATAGCAGTCGCGTCTGATATGTCACGCTCTCTCTCTCTCCCGCCTCCTCCCTATCTCTCTCCGCCAAGCCTTTCTCCTCCTCCCAACACTCCTCCTCCTGACAATTCTCCTCTCTTTATACTACCCCCTCCTGAAGGTCCTGTTAATCGCTCCCGCGCTTGCTAGATGGAACGAGTAAAGCAATTTCCAAACAGAGGATAGGATCACTAGATAGCTCAACAGAAAGGATACAGAACAATCAGCTGAATAACTGCCAACCTTACAAACCACGTGCGCGTTGTCGTCTCAACCCCCTTTCTGTGCTGTTCAACAACCAGAACCGGCCTACGAGAGGAGCTACATGACCAGCTTTGCTCAC